TCAGTTGATGTTTCTTGATCAGATGACATTTATTTGAAATATGAAAATCCTGTTCGCCTTTCGTAAGCTCTACCATATTCAGAATCATAATAACAACAATAACGTTTTAAATACAATACATAATTCCCCACGTGCTATTACTACGGCAAATCCTATACTCACTTCGAAAATTCATGACAAAATGCATTTTTTTAATGGATTTGAAGACCTTGAAGATTCCGAATCTCAAACAATTAATCATAGATATGTTTATGACTTTGACCTTGGTCCAAAAAATCGAAAAAACAAAAGGGTCACCCAAAATTACGTCGATCTTTTTATTAGAGAATTTGATGCCCAGTTTGAAGAAACACGTATTTATTTTTTTAATTATTATTTAGAAACTTACATTAATATTTAATATTTTTAAATATTTTGTAGAGACAAATGAGAAGTGGAATGAAACCACAATTACTGAAATTGCCGAAGCTTATTTTAAAACCTTAAAAAAGGAACGAAATACTTCTCCTGCTGCAAAGCTTTTGAATGATCAGCGTTCTCGACGCCGTAAACTGTAATATATTTAATATAATTATAATTATAACGCAGCACTCAAATAGTTATTATTAATCTTTTTATTATATTTTTTTTAGAAATCATCTAACCGTCTAGCCGCATTAAGCAAGATTCCTGAAAATCAACTAAATTATCCTAAAAATGAAGTTGAGAAGTTATTTTCCTTTGAGGCAACATCTCCAGAAATATCTGATATTGAAGAATCACCGATAGCTATTCCGTACGGAGAAGATCATATTTCTGAATCATCTAGGAAGAAATTACTGATACCCGCTCTTCCTTGGATAAGTGATGAGGTATTGTAATATGTGCGAATATTCATTTATACAATATTAAAAAATTAAGAACTATACTGATACTAACGCTTGATTATAGGGAATTCGTATTCGCAATCTCGCAGATGAGGTAATCCAACGACTTCGAGTAGAAAAATTAAATTCTGGAGGCCGTCATTCTTATATTACCCCTATGCCACGTGAAATTATTAAAATGGATGATCCAAGGTGGATAAATATGCAGCCATTAATTCCTGCAAAGCCAAGGGATCTTCCGATTTTGGCATGGAATCAAGTTGATCAAAGCGAATATGAGCATTTCGATGAATTTTATGATGACGATTAATATTATGTAATAAATAATATCACTATTTGAAAGGATCAAATAATGTATTCAATGTCGCATGTAGTATTGATACTCTGATTTAGAAGTAATATGTGTATATTTCGCATCTTTAATATAATAAAATATCAGTATAATCTTTAGAAAATAGTTGGAATAATTATTTATATTATAAATGTTTTCTAAAAATAATTTAAGAAGTTACACCAGAATAACTAATAAAAAACTCTTGAAAAACTATTATTGAATTTACATTTGGAATACCGCAATAAAAGTTGCACATTACACCATAAGTTTGGTACATGAAAACATTTGTACTTACTTAAATTTATTAAATGAAAATGTTTAGACAACTGTTAGAAAAGGTAATATCTAACAAAGGTTTTCTAATATAACAGCTTTAGAAAATGTTTATAGTTCTACCTGTGAATAAGCCTAGAGATAGAACACTGAGCAGCCTGCGCAGTAGATTCAAAAAATCTTTGATTTTCCTATCTCTATTTGAGTAATGTTTTAGGTTCTGCGACTGCAATAGTAACGCAAGAACCTATGTTTTGCTTTTGCTTCGAAGCTGAAATAGCAGTACAAGGACCTTGTTTTTTATATTTTTGGATCCGTGGTTCTATGGATATGAAGAACCTTAAGTGATGCTTACCTCGTAAAGGCTCTTTGTGTTTATTATGAGACCTTCCTTGTTTGCGCTGTAAAAGAAGTTTTCTGGTATTATTAATAATTGTTTGTTAGTATTATGGTAGAGCTTACGAAAGGCGAACAGGATTTTCATATTTCAAATAAATGTCATCTGATCAAGAAACATCAACTGA